CCACACACACCCACTTATCCCTTCCATCCACCATTTCCCCCTTTTCTTTTTTCATCCCTCTTCCCCTCTTCTCTTACGTCTTTCGGTCAATAGAGACAGACGAGAAAAATAACCCTAAAGTCGCCAGTTCGGCGCAAGGGAAATGAGACCTTAAACGACGTGTCCATGCGTGAGGAAATAAGAGGCGAATCAATGACCGATGCTGGAGTGTCATGGATATAGTGTCCCATTACGGGAACTCGCGGGCTATCGGTTGTGATGGGACGATGATATATAAAGTCTGGTGAGAGACCGGTGACATTTGAGCTTCTGCTACGACGAGTGTCACTGTTAAGGTTTATAATTTAAGGAGATATGACAATACATGTACAATAAACTCGTGTTTGAAAGACAGACAACGCGGTACTTTTCCACCTATTCGATGAAACAATCTGAACGCAATTCGACAGCGTCTTGTAATAGGGTGCACCGGTAAGTAATGTTAGTGATCTTACACAATTAATTTAGAAGTTTCAGCTCTTCTTGTTTGATTAATTTGACCTTTGTTTTCTGTGGGTTTTTTAACTGATATTTCTTTTTCAATGTGAATATCAACTAATTTGGTCTTTGTTTTTAAATATTTCGCTCTTATTATTTATTTTTTTACAATGTGAATGGTAGTCTACCTTTTTGGTGAATGACAGTGTTTGGGAGCTTAACTGGCTGCCACGATGTATCTCCCTGGGGCTTCAAGGTGAAGAAATGGAGAGAGGCAGACCAGTCATCGAAGCTTTTACAATGTATGAAGTCACTAGTCCTTTCGATCTAAGGAGGGGGGCTACACCTGAAGGCTATCTCGCTTATTAGCCGGCCAAATTTTGCCATATTTCACAAATTATATAACAAGCATAGTAAGGAGTTTAAAAATCCGCAATCAAATTTGAGAAAAAAATTCGTTTCCATGGATGCGATAGCCATATTGGAGTTTGTTGACATATCTTACGTAATGAATACCGCACATTTCTCATGGAAACTAATTGGGTTTTTGTTTTGTTTTTGCGTACGTGTTCACAAACATTAGATCTAAAAAAGTGCCTGTTGTTTTTTTCCTAAACGAATTAGAAAAAAAAATTTATGAATTTTTTCCTGAGGTAGTGTTCAAATTTGCAAAAAGTCCGTGAAAATCCACACTCCAGACGCTACCAACAAAAATCTATTCTATATGTCAATAATTCAACAGACAAATATTTAGTATTACATCTTCTCTTCATTCTGTGAAAATTTCATGAAGATTGGATGAAAAATGGGGGAGTTATTCAAAAAAGTATA